GAAGATATTTGTGGGAAAAATATTTTCAGCAGGAAAACAGGAAGCATTCTTTAAAGTTGAAAATATATTCAACTAATCACTGTGAAGTGCCATAATTTCACTCGGCGCCTAACACCGCTCAAAAAATCTAAGATCCCAAATTTACCCCTGAACATATTTCAAGGCTTTGGAACTTGGCAGAATTTTAACGAGTAACAGATTTGAAAAAAAAATCATACTGGAGTCATAATTGTCAAGGCTCTGAGACTAAGGAGCATTTGAAAGGTTATTACAAATAAAAGAACAATCTATAGAATCTTGCGGACAAACCCTGGACATTTAAGTATAATTTAGAAGTAGTCAACGTGTTGATTTCAACCAAATATTGAGGAAGAATTCCACATAATTTTCGAAGAAGAAGTTCTGAGCAGAATTCCAGAAATATTCTGACATGAAGTCCTTAGAGATTGTTAGATGAATTTGGAGAGATTTCTGTGGAGAAGGATGCTCTAAAAAGTTCTAATTTGAATTCTTAGATAATTTTGGGAGATTTCAAAAGGAGTTGTGAAAAGAAAACTTTAAGGAAAATTCCTACGTAATTCTGAAGAGATTTTTATGGGGATCGCGACGAAAATGACACATGAATTTTAAGAAGAATTTCAATAGAATTATGATGAGAATTCAACAAGAAACAGAGTTCTAAGAGTGTTCTGGTGATAATTTCAACCCTAGTGCGAAAGATTCATCACAGTGCTCTAACAAAATTGATTACAAAACAAGCTGATAATTAGAAAGAAATTCTTTAAAATACTCCAAGGGGTTTCTAAATAAAATTGCGAAAGATTTCTGCTGTTTTGAATAGAGCTAAAAGAAAATTTTGAAATGTTTTTTTTAAAGCAATCAAAGGCTCCGAATAGGCTCAAGGGAATTCTAAGAAGAATGCTAATCAAATTCTTACAAGGGGTTTCAAGAAAATTCAAAAAAGAATTCAACGGTAATTATTAAGCGGAGTGTTTTCTGGTTAGGTTCAGAAATTTTTTATGATATTTCAGAACAGAATTCCATGTTGATTCTGGAATTCATATCATGTGATTTTTGAATAAAATTGCATGGTTGATTTCGAATTAAAAACGAAAAATTAAAACCTTGGAAAAGAATAGTTCAGATTCAGTTTTTACAAATATTTGTTTCCAAAGTCGAGCATCTTCAATATTTTCTTTTAATGCCCATGCACTTTACATCAATTGAAACGACAAAAATCAATTTGAATTATTGCTGAGTGATTAAATTCTAAAACAAATAAGACGGGAAACTGAAGAAGCAAATAGAGCTAGACATTCATTTGGTAAAGAATCACTCTGTTTCAATGGTTTATTCTAAAATTCTGGTATACAAATTTGTTCCTATGGCATGGTAAATTTATTTTTCCCGGTTCTCTCGACGAATTCCCGGGTTTTTCCCGATTACTTTTCAAATTCCCGGATATTTCCCAGTATTCCCGGTTTTCCCGCTTCGTTGGCCACCTGTTTATGTTTGTGTAGAAAAAACAGCATCATTCATAGTAATGAACTTATACATTCATAAAAAAATAAAAATAAAACCTATAGCGGAAATCTACGTAAAACCGACACCCTAAAGATTTTCACCAGAATGCATTATTTTTACATTATTTATCAACCTACAAATGAACAGAATCTTACTTTGACTACACTGAGATAAATAAACTTAGGAATTTCATAAGCCTCGGCTTATGAACGACACATATGAATTTCACAAACGCGATTTATATATGAAAGATGTTCGTCTGGTAGCTCTCATACGCCTTTAGACAATCCATTTTCCCAAGCCTTCACATCTTATCAAGGTAAAATCGACACGTTATAAATATCAAATGACCGTTTGTCGATTCAAAACACGATGTATCTACAAAACAATGTAGAAAACACAATAATTTTACATTAAAATTAAGGCATATCCTGTTTCTGAAGCATATTACAAATGTCAATTTTCCCCCGACTGAAAGTGTCGATTTTACCCCGAATGAACCAAACATATTTTAACAAAGTTTTCATGTTGTGAATCTAGTTTATTTTTTTTTTATGTATGCTTAAAAGACATTCAGGCTTTTCTCCATCTAGTCCCCGAGACAATGTACTAAATAAATATTAGTATTTATTATGATAGGAACAGCAAACTTTAATATCGATTTGCTCTTATTTTGTTAACCGACTTTCCTTGGACAAACTTCATCTTTCAGAACATATAGCAGTGATGACTGCGCAAAGTCTTTTGCAAGTGCTTGGGTTTCTTCAGCGTAATGTTGAAGAGTTTGACGACATCCACACGCTCAATGTTTTGTATTGCTCCCTTGTCCGAAGCATTGTTCAAGTATGGGGTCTTCATCACTAGACGCAGGTAAACCGAATAGAGAAAGTCAAAAAAAATATAATCGCTTTGCATTAAGTGGACTAACAATCGAACGACCCTATTTATGATCCTCCTCAATACACTGGCGGCGTATATTGGATCGAATGTTCATTTTCGACAATCACTCAGGTGATTCGATTGTCCATCTCTGTTTCAAATGGTAAACTTTAACGTTCCTGCTCGAAGGCTTTGCTATCAACAAACTTTATGGATTCCAAGGCATCGTGCCAACTTTGGTCAAAATAGATCGATGCTGTAACAAATTTAATGATGTGTAACCTAACTTTAGAAGTTAGGTTCTTCTTCTTCTTCTTCACATTTCAAGCTTATTGCATACCGCATATTAGCTTATTGCGTGCTCTCAACTTAGTGTTCTAGATGCACTTCGACAGTTATTAATTAAGAGCTTTCGATGCCTGACCATTTTTACATTGGTATAATGGTGTGGCAAATACATTATGCCTAGGGAAGTCGAGAAAATTTTAAACCCGAAAAGTTCCTAGTCCGGACCGGGAGTTGAACCCAACCACCTAAAGCATGGTCCCACTTTGTAGCAGCGCCTTTACCGACTGAGCTAAGGGAGGTCCCGTGAATTGGCTTGGCTAATTGGTGATTAATCACACTTGGAACCAATCGAATCCATCAACACATGAGCCGGGACCAACGAAGGAAGGAAGGAAGACGTGACCACAGTTTTATTCACCATTGCATTTACAAGGATAACGAATTTGTCTGTAAATTCACGGCCCGTCAATTTGCCATACCCGATTTTCACGTTGGAAAATATTTAGACTTCACGGTTTGCCACACAACGAATGCAAAAAATGCACAGTTTTCTTCAAAATATAAAAAAAAACATAATTGTGGAACAATAAGGATACCATATTTCAAAATCATTAATTATTTGACCTCCGACGCCAGCGCTAGTAAACGTTTATAATAAACACAACGTCCAACCAGCTGAAGAGTGCTCTATTATTATTCTAGTTTGCTTAACGGAAATGCACTCGCATAAAAGTGGTACCACAGATATACACATATGCAATGCACAACCACAAGCCTATAACTTTTTGCTGCAGCACAGCGCCATGAACGGCTCGGAGTGAAGAAAATAGAAACCAACCTGACGGTATATAAACAACTATATACACCTACAAATGTGACCTCAGAGAAAAACTAAATGTTATAGGTTTTTGGCAACAGTGACCGTGCATAAATCAATTCCCTGAGTTGCGTTGCGATATTGTTGATGATAAATTGAATAATCAATAATGAAGAGAGCGTGCCGGAGAACAAACTCAGGGACGCACATGCAAAGAAATAGAAAAAATTGAGTCACGCTTCCCAGGACCACTCTGCAGTGGTAGGACATTCGGCTTGCAGAATTCAGTGCACCCTACATAAAGGCATAAAACGGAGGTGTAGGTGTGTATGTTGTGTCCCATACAAACAAGTTCACATGTGTCATTTTCGGATTCTGTGCCTAACAAAAAGACGCTTGGTGACTCCAAAGTGAACGGTGAAGCAGCGTTTCTCAATTTATGGTTGAAACCCATCGTTGGATAGGCTTTTTGAATCGCGACAGTTTAGAGGTTTACCATTTTTTTAAATTATTTTTTTTTTCTACCGAGTTAGTTTTTTCTACCGAGCTCGGCTGTGCAAATCTCGGCAAAATAAGTTTCACTGAGATCTCAACAAAAGTGACATTTGATTGCTGAGTCTCGGATAATGCTTAGCTGAATCTCAGCAAACAAATGAAATGTTTGCTGATATCTCAGTAAAACTTATTTTGCTGAGATTTGCACAGCCGATCTCGGTAGAAAAATCTAAGTGTGTATGTTGATTATTTCGTTCTCCTTCATCGTGAAAAAAAAACAAAGACACTACTCTTTTACAAGTCAATCTTAATTTCACACAAGGTTGTATGTACATTAAAATTCTCAAACTACGTCACGTATCTTATCAAAACTCTTATCAAAAAATTTAAATTTCCGGGAGCTATACATTGTCTTACATTTATTTATCATAAAAGCACAATAAATCTAAAACCTAACAAGTAGCGATGCAACCGAGATTGAGAACCACTTTTGGAGAAGGACGTCTGCAAATTTATGACAGATCGTGCTATTGACATCTCTTGCGGAGATTAAAATTAAAAATTACTCTTTTATCTCATTTCCTTTTTTTCTCACAGCTTCCGCCTATATAATGTTGAGCGGATCTTTAGGTACGGCGAGCGTTTTCTATTTGACATAGACATACGACAGAATTAAGTTAGTCCGAAAACCACACTCACATTTGAAGCTTCTACTTTGATTGCAACGAAACTTATCTACCCGTATACTACGTATATAGGGGAAGTGTGCCAGTTATGTCACTAGTGCCCCCCTAACAGAACAGCATTGAGGCTTATTTCCTGGGGAAGAAATTTTGATTATTACGAAAAATTTACGATTTTAGGTCGTACGGCCAATTAGAGGAACACTAGTACTATATCTGGTACACTTCCCCCATATATCCGTACAACGAACACGAACACAGCAGGTATATTTTAAGCAAAGCAAATCACAAAATAGGCACACTGGTCCACTTACCTTCATGTCGTTGACGATGTGCTGGAAAAGGGTGCCAATCGTGGCACCTCCCTCGTTGCGCTCTATTCCAATATCCATGTTCGCTGATGTGGTTGTGGTGTTAGCTAATACTTGTGTGTTTCCCGCTACCGAAAAAGCGATCGAAAACAGTCTCCAGGTCGTACACTCCGATGGAGCTCTGTTATGTGCACTCTCGTCGGGCGGATAAATATACCGTGAAAAATCGATTATAGCCCTACTTCTTTCACGCTCGCGTCGCGAACAATGATTTCAATTAGACAAGATAAGAAACTATCGACGTTTTCCATCTTCTTCAGCTGCTTCACCAATTCTTAATGCTGCTCTTTACACTTAATATCTACCATACATTGCGCCATTAACGGCCGAAAGCCATCGAAAGACGAATGTTTGTTTTCACACTTTCTCCTATTTTCACTCACATCTGATCTGGTCTCCGTTTTTCAAATACGTTGTAACACACCCACTGAATGAAATACACCCATTGAACCACTCAAATTCGCTTGCATCAGGTGTATCCTCCTGGTTTTTGTGATTCCACGACGTCAGATGAAAAGCACGTTGACAATTTTCCTTAATAAGAAATTCCTGCAAAAAAAAAAATAAAGGGCATAGTGTAAGTCAAAAGCATTGTTTAATTAGGGGAAAATAGTGTTATGTGATCGTTATGTATAATAGAGCTGCAACAATTGTTAAACAATAATATTGCATGAGAACCAGTGAGAAACGCATCGAGACTGGTGCTAAAACAGAACAGCTATAAATTACTTGACTGCCTAATCGCGAACCGACATCTTACGACCGCCGAGCAGCGTAGAATCAAATTTGCAACACCTAGGAGGAATTATCGTATTTACTATGTGGAATCTAGTGCTCTCATTTTACCATGCTAGTGCATTGCTGGCCAGACGCAGATAAATTAAACAACACTTAAACAAAAACAGATCCACACCGTGAGATATAGCTAATAAAAAGATGTGCTGAAGCTGTGAGGAATAAAAATAAAAATCATGAAAACCGATCACGAAACGAACCAAGGTATTCTGCCAAATCGATGTACCTGCCATGTTCACAGAAGAACCAATCACCATGAAAACCGATCGACCAATAAATGATATGGGGTATGATCACCGGAATTCGTTTAATTCATTATCCTTGTAAATGCATCACTGCGCGTGTTTGTACCAGTTTAAAACTAATTAAAAGTAACCATTAACCAACCGAATGTTCGTTTACCACTTGTACGCGATTCACTGTGCGGTAAGCGGCACTGTGGACATAATGCGGTTAAGTCAAGGAGACTTTGAAAAATATGCCATAGAGAAATAAAAAAAAACGGATGAGAGCTTATTGCTTCAATCATTTCATCGATTTCAGACAATAACGCTTCTGACAAGGTCACTCTGCTCAACGGTGAGTCTGAAACCAAAATGTTCACATACCTACAGTATGGCTCATAAAAAATGCGAAAATCTTTATAGCACAAACAAGAGTGATTTTATCAGGACTATTGTTTAAAAAAAAATTTGTTTGTTTATTTGACATGTTTTGATTAGCATATTCAAAATGTACTCGTTGATTTTTATTTACTTTCTCCAGACGGAGACAGAATCTAGAGCATGCATATACTATTCCGACCGTATTTTAGTTGTTGAATGTAGCAGCAAAATGGCCGTATGTTTTACATTCTGAATCAATTTAACAAGGCTCTTGGCAACGTTGGAAACAAATATAACATATATAACCCATGATGCACCTTTTTTGTTTAATATAGGGATGATTCTAAATGTCACTCTTCAACTTCAAGTGCGCGGAATGAGACACAATGATACATTTAACCATTCCATATTTTTTTAGGTTGTGCAAATATTGCAAATCAAATTTTTTTGGCAAAATATATACATTGCAATCATATGACGCTTAAAGAAACATAAATCACCCACGGCAATAGGGTATGTCACGGTACACATAATAAGTAGAAAAAGAGAATTAGAACTTTTTCGAATAAGATAATGGTACGTGCAGGGACATGATGGCCTGTTGCTCCATAGTTAAATATTTAAATACCATTATTTTAGCCAGGAACTGATGCTCTGGAAGCTTTCAAAAATCCCCCGTTTACTGGAATAATCTTGTAGTTCGTAATTTGAAATTATGAGTAGCCCAAATAATCTGATCCTGCATTCGCTTTTTCATTTCTGGTTAATAAAACTTAAGATTATTTTCTGGATTCCAATGAATGTAAAAAACTGGGCTGTCTGGCAATCCCAAATCTTCCAACAATGGGGAATGCCAATACTTTCTTCTGTCACCATCTTGAACTTGAGAGGTTACGCACAGAACATTTTCACACTATGAGATCACGGAAAATTTACGTGAATTTCACATAACCTTCACCAGCATGACACATGGACTCGACCAGTAAATCCAGTAAATTTCATTAACATGTTGTTGAATTTTACGTGTAGTATGTCACCTGAATTTTCAGGTAAAAATTACGTTCAGTGTAGCAGCAAAATGGCCGTATATTTTACATTCTGAATCAATTGAACAAGGCTCTGGCAACGTTGGAATCAAATATAACATATATGCACCCCTTTTGTTTAATATAGGGATGATTCTAAGTGTCATTCACCTTCAAGTGCGCGGAATTAGGCACAATGATACATTTAACCATTACATTTTTTTATAATTTTTTAGGTTGTGCAAATATTGCAAATCAAATTTTTTTGGCAAAATATATTAATTACACATAAATCACTGCAAATTCATCTTGTGCTAACTGACTTAAACTTGAAGCGTTCTTAACACCACGGTAATAGGGTATGTCACGGTACACATGATTGATAGAAAAAGAGAATTAGAGCTTTTTCGAATAATGGTGCGTGCAGGGACATGATGGCCTGCTGTTCCATAGTTAAATATTTAAATACCATTAGTGTGGTATTTATCGGTACATGATCGGACAAAAGTATATCACCTTGCCATTTTTTTCAGATGATGAACAAAATAAAACGGATATAACTTTTTTCGTGCTAAATGGAATTTAGTAAAATCAAAAGCATATAAAATATACCCCTGTTTCGGCACAATTGAGCGAAATTTTAGATCATTTGGTTCAATGAATTGCAGCTTCAAAAAAATACCATAAAGATTTTATTTTTTAACTTTATTTAAGAGATTTTTAGCTTTAGGCTAGTTCATCTCTTAATACCATAAAGAGGCGTTTTACTAAAATTGCTCAAACTTCATACAAATTCTGTTTAAAATTATACCGAAAAATCTTGGATACTCGACCAACAAGCCACGAATTCAGGAAACTTCATGTACACCCGAAAAAGTTTTTTGGAGAGAGAAAATAATTGCGGGGAGATATACTTTTTTTTCCAGTACTGTAGATTGGGAAAACTATGCAGAACATTTTTTTCAAGGATAGCGAATCGATGAGGCTTCTGTGCAACTGTGTCCCACAGTACATAAGGATTGCATAGAACATGGAACAGTTATGCATAGAACGGCAGTACGGTCAATACAAATTATCAATGAACGATCAAGGTAGCGAGAGGCGAGTAGGTTAAAAATATCTAACAAAACTGCCTAAGTACACACCAAATTTTGAAAGTAAATTCCAGCAAAACAAATTACTGGATCATGTCCAGCAGGATCAAGTTTTGCTGGAAAATCAGTAATCTGAAATATTTTACTGGATGTTTCAGTAAATTGTATCAAATCTCGCGTAGCATTTGAAATGGGCTATCAACTTTTGGAAACAAAACATGCTAGGGACTATACTCACGAACCAAAGTACACCCACGCAAAAATCAAATAAAAAACAAGATCAAAAACCGCTTATTCGATATGTCGAATCAAAATCATATGAATTGAACAAAGCAAGCAACAGATCTCACTGCATATATTCATTTAGATTTCTCTTTCAAAATTTCATAGTTTCTATGACCGGCAACTCAAAATCAGAGGTATTTTATTTCAAGAAAATGCTGATAAAATACGTTTGCTCCATGATTTAAATGAATCAAACTTAAGCTAAAATATTAAGAAATAGTTTAAAACCATTTAGCGCTTTTGGAGGGTTTAGGTTTAATGTATTCTTTGTGTTGGATGACGAAAGTAGTCACTGATGGTCAAGTCGATGTTCTTTTAAAATTAACTTCTATCATGGCATCAATAAATACAACACTAAAACTCTATTTGTCGTAGTCCTGACTTACTGAGATTAGATTTCTTAAGCACAAATCGTTTGCAAATCTCATTTCTGCATGACCCATCCGAAACAAAGAAAACAAAGTCTGACTGTTCATCATCCAACTGCGTCAATCCATGCTGGTTTTGAACAAGAATACAAATTTTCGATGTCTGTATTAGGAAGCTTAAAGCAAGTGAGTTTGAATCAAATATCAAACAACTATTTGACTGGGTACCAACGAGAACAGATAACCTCAACCAGGTAAGGAATAGGTATAACAGTCAAACCAGGAAAAAAACACAAACTTGAACTGATACGCCGTCGTTTTGCGGTGAGCCACTTGGTAAGCACGAGGTTAGCGGGGCATGGTACAAGGTATACTTTAACTGAGGTTTTATGTTACCACTCCTATATTCTTTGCATATGGGGCACATTTATAAATATGTGTTGGACACTGGATCTGAAAGCAACAACAAAAAACGAGCATCAAACCAAAACGCTTCCCGCCATCGATGAGGTTGCAATATTAAACGGAGAATAGCATCAAGACATACCTGATGTTCATGAAGCTTTCGAGTGACTACAGGATATTGGCTTACCGTTTGAATCATGGTCAACCCATTCGGAAAGAAAACCGATGATCATCGACCAGAGTAAGCGCAGCATCAAACGCTATCATTTTCACCAACTCCCGTACCTTCAACGTGGCCCTCTTACGATGAAGAGAGCGTTTAAGTGCAACACGATATGCACGGAAAACTGTGTCAAGCGAAAACAGCTTACCATCAGTTTCATATGCGCGCTGCTACCTACTGCTCCTATACTTCTTGTGCACAGTGAGTTATTTTGTGTTTCATCATGAAGCTCGGTCGTTGAGCATTTGTATCCTCAAATGGAAACACTTGGATCCCCTCACGATATAATCATTTCACGCTATTCCGATGATGTCTGGCTTTCGTTATAACTAACCATCGTTTAGCACCCTCAGATCAGTTAAGGCAAATGAGAATGCACTGAGAATATTATCGCGTAGTTGGAGAGTATCAATGCAAAGGTAAAAAATTACTGAAAATATTATATTTGTGTTTAGTAAATTCGAATTTATGCTACAATTCTTGCGCATAGATTCATAATACCAAAGTCACCTGAAAACGATTGGAGCCACTTCACACTTTATTACTAATACATTTGGTTTGGACATAGTCTGTTGTATGCTGTACGAGACCGTGAAAAGAAATCCACCATAAAACAGAAACTTATCAGATTGGAACCAAGTGTTGGTTGAATCGGACCGACTCAAGGTAGACATAGCGGAGTTTGGTGTTTTCTCGTAAATCTTCTATTCGAGCTTATCTGCAACCGAGGGCCCGCTATACGTATGTAA